TAAATATTTATCATCATGAATCATCAAATTGACCATATGATATAATGTGCCATATCATGAATATTATTATACATTTGTGGACGTATATATATGTATATGTATACGTCTGTGAATCATTCTACAATTCTAGCGTGGTACCACTCAGCGGTTTCGCTGAGCGTGTAGTTTGTATTTTTCGTTGACTACACGTAGGTAACAAGAAGACAATGATGGAACCATTCCCGGAGGGCATTGAGTCAGAGGAGATGCAAGGATGGCAGGCAATGTTTGGTCAACAGATTTTAAAATATGTCATGATTTGATTATTATTGTACTTCCGCATTACTCTGAAATTTTTTTTAAATGGATCGCGATCCAGAGTCTGTAAATTTTAATATTTATCAGAAATTGTCATTTCCAAATGTCAAGTGAAATTTTTATTTATCTCTCGTTTCACCTTAATTTGTATAATTCCGGGTTATACGGATTGGGGTGTTACATTCCTACCCTCGACACCCCGGTAAACCCCCACCCCTGAGCAAGTGGCTCTAGAATCGTTTCGATAATGGTAGTTGTAATAATAATAATAATAATAATAATAATAATAATAATAATAATAATAATAATAATAATAATAATAATAATACAAAAAATGCATGCAAATAATTTTTTAAACACTATTGAAAAGAATCAGAAGAAGCTAGATAAAACTAAAAGAGTGGAAAAAACATAATGACTTTCCCTAAATAGCAACATATGTTTTTTATTTCTCAATGTAGCACTTTTAGTCATTATCCATTAGTCATTATTAAAATAATTGTTCACCATCACAGGATATTATTTCTCCTTCTAGACATTATTAAGTGTTATTTAAGGGATAAAAGGTTTAAGTCTTATATTGGAAAATGACTTATGTTTTAATGCTATTTAGTGTAGATATTTCTCATAGTTATTGTTTCTACATTGCATTTCGCAAAAAAGACATTTGGTGAAAATATATCTTCATTAAAAAAATTAATTCACGATGATGAGATTAAATTTAAATATATTCATTAAAAACAAACACAAAATATTTACCTTTAAAAAAGAAAAATCTTTGTATTGTTATGTGTTGATGTTTTATATGAATAGTGGGAAAAAAATAGATTGATCATATCTATAGTAACACCATAAAAATAATCTAAATTTAACATCAATTTAGACTTAGTTCGAAATACCTTATAATATTTGTTATGTGGTGATGTTTTATGTGAATAGAGGAAAAAAATTTATGGTTTGTATTTACAATATCTTTATGATGGGTATTACAAGTACAGATGGAGAGGCATCGTCGTCAGGTGCAATGCCGCACTGTCAAACACACACAAGAAGAAATGTACTTTGTGATGTGACAAATGGTATTTATAAATTTCGAATAAAAAATTTAATTAATCCATTTTTTTAATTTGTGGAAGGGTTACTTATGAAGTAAAACGTCACAAAACATAATTTTAACAACTTTAAAATTTTATCAGTACAATGCTTCAATCGGGGAATAATTGTACACCCATCTTTGCACAGTTGCATGTGCAAAAGAGACAAAGAAGAACCGATCTATCTTTTGTAACACGTGCGATAAATTTTTATGAAGGTAATATTGGTTATGATGGTAAATGTGTTTAAACCATTTATATAACAAACCACCTAGGCAAATAGTACAGAATTCATATTTTGGATACACTCAATATACACTCAACATAATGAATTTGTCCTGTCCTTCATTCCTGGTGATGAAAAGGAGAACTTGATTTCTGATTCTTTGTGCCAAGCAGATGCAGATGTAGGTGTTTTTGAACGAAATCAAACGTTTGAGAATCCCAAACCACAAAATAGTCTTGAAAAAAGGGGTACCGGTTATGCTATTGAGGAACATTGACCAAACATCTAGATTGTGTAATGAGACAAGATTAATCGTTCAACAACTGCTAACTAATGTTATCGGTGCAATTGTGGTTTTGGAAAATCGAGTCGAGGAAAAGGTTTACATCCCTAGAATTAATTTGGTACCATTTGATCCAGGACTACCCTTGAAGTTCAAAAAAATACAATTCCCGATCGCCTTATGTTTTGCTATGACTATCAACAAAAGTCAAGGTCAAACATTGTCATTTGTGGGATTATTTTTAACCAAATCGGTGTTCACACATGGTCAACTTTACGTTGCTGTTTCACGAGTGAAGACAAAGACATGTTCAAAGATATTGGTTCTAGATGATAATGGAAGCCCTTGAAACTATACCAAAAATGTTGTATACCCTGAAGTCTTTCAGAAAATTTGGTATTAAAATAAACATTGTTAACTCTACATGCAGTTTCTCAAATATTATTTATTTTACTTTGGAATTTTTCATATGTAGTATTGAAAATCATGTGAGCAATATATATTTTTTATCCCGAAAAATAAATTTCATTGAAATAATTCAGAATCGACATAAATTTCGTTCGACCCCGTGCATGGCACGGGTTAGAATACTAGTACTAGTATATAAAAAAAGAGAGTTAACCTCCTAGAAATTTGACATGTAGAATGTCTACTAGGCTATTTTTTACATGTCATCTTCCATCACATTTAAAAAATTGACATGTGGCAATATCGATGTGGCACTTTTTTTTGACAAATTATCATTTATTTATGTAAGACAATAAAAAAATAATTTGTTATAAATTTATGAAAGGCAATCAATTACAAGTTGAGTAAATTTATAACATACTTAAAAATAAAATTGTTAAAATTTTAATATATCTTTTATATATAAAAATAAGACTCATATAGAAAGTTGATATGAGTATTTATCCTTTATATATATATTTTTTTAGAACTCCTTACTAAAAACAATTGACATGTGGCTCTTTAAAAAATGACAAGTAACTCTTTAAAAAAGTGATATGTGGCAATATCTTTGTGGCATTATTTTTTGACAAATTCTCATTTATTTATGTAAGGCAACCAAAAAAACCAAAAAAATTATTGTTTAGAAATTTATGAAAGGCAATGAATTACAAGTTAAGTAAACATTTAATATACTTAAATAAATATTTAACATTCACTCAGAAAGAATTCAACGTGGGATTGATAATTCAATATACTACAAATAATACTTGACATGAGATCAAATTAAAATTTTAATTTGTTTTCAAATTCATATTATTAAAATTTAATAAATCTTTTATTATGTATAAAAATGAGACTCATAACTTTAGAAATTTGATTATTATGTGATTTATTTCACCTAAATTCGGACAAGAAAATCCTTTTCCTTTATATACTCCCTCCGTTCCGGAGTATTCGTCCACTTTTGACTTTTGGAACTGTTCATCTATGCACTTTGACTCATCAAATTTTCTCAATGTGTAAGCCTAAATATAGTCATGTGTGATCTTGTTTGATTTGTCTTAACATATAGATTATTAATATATAATTTCTATAATTTTTTAATATACAAATTACAAGATAAAATGGATTAAAGAAATGTATTGGATAGAGTATAAAAATGAAAGTGAACAAAAATACTCTAGGACGGAGGTAGTATAAATTTGAGACTCCTTACTCTAAGAATTTGACATTTGGCTCTTTAAAAAATGAAAAGTGACTCTTTAAGAAATTGACATGTGGAAATATCTATGTGGCACTATTTTTTGACAAATTATCATTTATTTATGTAAGACAATCAAAAAAACCAAATAAATGATTTGTTAGAAATTTATGAAAGGCAATCAATTACAAGTTAGGTAAATATATAATATACTTAAATAAATATTTAACATTTACTCAAAAAACAATTCAATGTGTGATTATCAATTAAATATACTACAAATAATACTTGACATGATATTAAATTAAAATTTTAGTTTTTATTCAAAATAAAATTATTTAAATTTTTAATAAATCTTTTATATATAAAAATGAGACTTATACAGAAAATTAATATGTGTATTTATTATGTGATTTGTTTCACTTAATTTTCAAACAAGAAAATATGAAATAAATATTTTAGGATGACATATTTTGAATAGATTTAAATATGAAATTTAGATTTTTGTTTTATAATAATATTCTTTTATAATTCAATATTTTTCTCTCTTTATGTATAACAAAGCTTTCAATTAATAAACACGTAACTCTTTTCACCCTTAAAACAATTATACGAGTATTTGTTTAGGATATGCTTAAAAAATTAATTTTGAATCTATTTGTTTAAATAATGATATAAAATTAAAAAATACAGTATGATTGGTTCGTTTATACTAATCTTCAACTAGAAAAAATACTACACATATTTAATAGTTTAAATATATTATATTTATGATTTGATTTAATGACTAGAAAACTTATTACGTTTTAAACCATTTATGATCTAAATTTAAAAATATAATATTTTTAATTACCTATTAGCAAATGATACTTAAACTAAAATATAGAATGTAGTTAATCAAAATATGTGTCACCATACCATACTATGTTTACACAAACATTCTTTATGATTTCAACATCATCGAATAAATTTAAATATAGAATATAGGTATTCTTTTTAATTTTACATTCCTTTCCATTTCATTTATAATAAAACTTTCAATGAATAAATAAAATTTCTTTCGTTAAAAAAGATATTCTCTTTGTCTCCAAATAAATTTTATATTTGTTTATGATATGCTTATTAAATGAAGTTAGCTTTTCTTTTATTGGTTTAAACATTGACGTGAAAATATAAAATATTCCTGTTTATTTAAATCTCTAAATTAATATTTTATAAAACAAAAATTCACGGGCTTGAATGATTACTTATTCAAACGTAAAAGAAAAAATAACTAAAATTTGCAAATTGTATTTACAATTTTTCATTTATAATAATAGGATTACTAATATTTTTTATCTAAAAAGTTATTCTCATTTCGAGGATAGGGCACTACCAGCACCCATGCTTGAGGTTGTAGAAATGGTAAATGATTTTTTCATATCCCTCATTCCTGGAGATGAAGAGTTTTGATTACTCATGCCAGGCATATTTAGATGTTAGTGTTTATAGCGATTGGATAACAGTTGAGTTTTTGAATAAATTTAAATGTTCGAAGATGTCAAACCACAATATCATTTTTAAAACAAAAATGCTAGGGGTACACCAAAAGTGTACCCCAAATGTACCCCACCCCCTCCATCACCACATAATTTGGCAAGTAAAATAATAAATAAATAAATAAATAAAAATGAGTGGTAATGGAGGGAGTGTTGTACATTTGGGGTACACCTTTTGGTGTACCCCTAGCATTACCCTTTTTAAAAAGGGGTATCAAAATAGTTTGAATAGCTGTGAAAGAGTGTCATCAATGCTTTAATGTTTTTGGGAAATACGGAGAAAAGGTTTACATACTTCGGATGAACAAAAGTCAAGGTCAGCATTGTAATTTGTTGGATTACATTTAATCAATTCATTCTTCATTCATGGTCAACTTTATGTTGTTGTTTTAAGACTGAAGACAAAGACAAGATTACAAATATTGGTTCTAGATGACAATAGAAATCCTAGCAACCATACCAAAAATGTTGTATATCTTAAAACCTATTACAAAATTTGGTATTAAAAAATACTTTGTTGAGTACACATTCAATTCTTCAAATATTATTTATTCGACTTTGGAATTTTCGTCTATAGTATTAATAATCATGTAAGAAATATATTTTTTATTTAAAAAAAATATTACATTGAAAAAGTTTTAGAATCAATAAAAAATATGTTTGACCCCGTGCATCGCACGGGTTAGAATGCTAGTAATTAATAAACTCTTTGCAAGTTAATAACTCATTATGTTAGTGTTAATGAAACATCAAAGCGTCAAAGGGTATAGCAAAAAGATACGAGTAATTTTATTACAAACTAAAAGAAAATATAATTAAAAGTTTCCAATTATCCCCTACGAGCTTTCATACTTTGAAAATGAGTAATTACAATTTCATTGCTAATGATATCAAGAATATCCTTTTCTATAAAGGATACAAGACAATCATTTAAAAACTTATCACCCATCTGATTCCGCAAATACGTCTTCACAATGTTCATTGCTGAAAAGCTTCGTTCAACGCTTGCAGTTGCCATGGACAAGATTAGTGTTAACTTCAAAAGACGAAACACCGACAGAAAAGAAAGATTCTTCTTTGTATCCACCAACATTTTGGAAAGTTCAGCAAGACCATTGATATTAGAAAACCTCTCATCTGAGTTTACATCATCAATATAAGTTTCAAGTTGATTTTCAAGTTCCATCATGTTAGAAATAATATTAAAACTACCTTATAAACCTGCAAAAAACCATGGAGTACACACTACTCAGTACTTTTTTACTTTTTAGAATAATTGATTCTTGAAATTTGACAAATTGAATACTTGGATCTAAAAGTCCTAATAAAACTTTCAAAAAGAGAGAGAAAGGCTCTTACTCAACTCTCAATTTGTGGTCTGTGGATTGCGATTATTAGGGCTGTGCATTATCCGGTCCAAACCTGGACCGACTCGAAGACCGGCCAAAACCGGACCGGACCGGTTCGGACCGGTCCTAATTCGGTCCGGTCTCCGGTCCATCAATTTTCATTATCCGGGTTCCGGTCCGGTCCGGTCCAAACCCGGTGAGACCGGTGGACCGACCGGTGTACCGGTTATATCATTAATATGGGTTTATATTCATATGGGCTTTACTCTTTAGGGCTTAATTTATCATCAATACCCATTACCCCAAATAATTCAGCCCAGTAGGAAGTAGCAAATCCACTTATCAGTTATCCACATACGGTTTTCAAGGTTCTCACTTCTCAATTGCTATTTGGCCATCGCCGTCTTCGCCGATTCGCAGAAGAAAACTCCGTCTGCAGCAGCGGCAGCGCAGCGGGTTCTCAACTCCGTCCGCAGCGCAGCAGGATTCCGCCCAATCCTCCGATAATCGCAGCAGACCGTCCACTCCGTCCGCACTCCGCAGGTACGCTATCTCTACTCTCCGACAAATCCCAGGTTCTCAACTCGCCGATTCTTGCTAAAATGTCATAGGGTTAACTAATTTAGAATTTTGTCGTGATTTCCAGTAACTTGGTCCAGATTCTTGCTTTGAATCATCTTTGTCATATATATGCTTCATATATGCTTGAAGTTCTTCATATTTGTCAACTGCCTTTCTCCCCCTTGCAAATCTTCAAAGTTTCAATTAAATGCCAATATGCCAGATTCCTCCCCCTTATTCGGTCCTTATTCGGGCCGGTCCGGACCGGTCCAGTTTTTTCGGTCCGGTCCCGGTCCTGTCTTACACTTTATCGGTCCGGTCCCCGGTCCATTAGTTTGCCCTTATTCGGTCCCGGTCCGGTCCCGTTCCGGTCCGGGTCGGTCCGGGTTTGGACCGATGCACAGCCCTAGCGATTATGCGATCAAGATTCAAGACGAACAGGGAAGCCTGTGAGCGATGAATGGAATCAGCGGCCGGTTAGAATTTGATAGAATTTAGGATGGGGTATGGATCATTGGACTGGGCAATAAGACACTTGGGCTGAACCACATTAAAAGATTGAATCCAATGTGAGATGCACTTTAACACTTCCCCTCAAGTGGACAACCAGACCACTTTGAATCTAACTGGTTGATCATTTTCGTGAGCTCCAACACCTGAAGGACCACGAACCACTGAGTATGGACTTCCAGACGAGCAATTGTGTTAAACGGGCCACAGGTCATTGGGTACATACTCCATATGGACAACTGGGCTAAAGACTAACAGGTCGCTAGGAATGAATGTCTAGACGGACACCTTGACAAACAAGGTGGGCTAAAACCTGCTCCGATACCATGATAGAATTTAGGATGAGGTATGGACAACTGGATTGGGTAATAAGACAATTGGGCTGAACCACATTAAAAAACTGAATCCAATCAATCAGTTAGTTCAACTCAAAAGCTTATATACTGATTATTTTATTCTGAAATTTCCGATGTGGGATGCACTTTAACAAAATCTGTGGTTTATGCGGAAGAGGAGAAAATTTGAAGCTTCTGGACTGATGAATAGTGTTCTCCACTTCTCCATATATGGTTTGTTTGAGTAAACTAATGGGGGCAAGTATATTTTTTATTGGGGGCAAGATTAGGTTATTAAAAATTTGGGGTACTAATTAAAATTTTTTAAAAGTTGACTCGGGGCATGTGCCCCAACTGCCAAAACACTTCATCCGCCTCTGTATATTTTAAACGTGGACTTTGAGACCATATAAGCATCGCTCAAATAAAAAAACATGGGGTGCATTGGGGGGTTGGAACAAAAAAAAGAAGGAAAAAAAAAGAAAAATAAAACGTGGGGGAGGTGGGTTAAACAAAAAAAAGAATGAATGAAAATGAAATAATGAAAGAAGAAGACGAACATTGCA